ATGTAAGTGAGCTTGGGGTGGAATATCCTTGAGGACCCCTTGTCTTACTGAGATTTCTGTTTAGAGATCTCACCCCACGTTTGGGGCACTATTTCAGGTTCAGGTAATGCGGGGGTTGAGACCTCTGGCGGCAGGAGGCCGGAGCTTAGTTGAGATATATGATGTTTATGATGATATGTTTTGGATGCTGACATGCTTTATATTATTGTTATGTTATTTGATTTCTGACTCTGTTGGGCTTTGTTGCCTTATTTGGTGAGCATGAGGATTGTCTATGCCACAATGTTTTGACTTTACTGTTTTAGTTTGGAGTTGAATAATGTACCAGGATTATGTCCAGACTACATGTTATAGATCCGTGACTTAGATACTCATTGTTAATTATTTTATGAGGTATTTCAGTTAGATGTCTTTTGCAATTTACATACAGGTGATATTTTTATGAAATTGATTAAGTAATCAACTTGGCTAAGATTAATGACGTCATAATTGAAAGTAAAAAAGTTATTCCGCATATTTAAATTAAGTGTGGCTTAATACGATGACATGTTAGCAAACCGAGTTAACACGGGGTGTTACAGTCCTCCCTTGGGATTGACTGTGTACACTTCTGTTATGATATTTGTTACGTGCGTTGAGTTTCACTTGGGGTCCTCCCTTGGGAATGACTGCGTACATCTCTGATAAGATATGTGTATATGCTTTGTTCAGTTAAGATATTTTCTTATATGATGCCTTGTATATTATGTATCTGACATTCATGCAGGAAGTGGACCCAGGGTATGGAGAGTTCTCCATAAATCTGGAGCTTACTTGAGATTCGTCTCTAACCCCGTTTGGGGGATATGATTTCAGGTATATAGTTAACTGGAGAGCCCTGTGAGGGCAAAGATACGAATCGTGGCTGGAGGTGCAATATTGATATGTGCTTTTTGGATGATTCGTCATCACTGTATAAAGACATGGTCCGTGTGTAGCATTATGATGCTATTATTTTGGAGGACATATATTTATCGTTTAGTAGTGTTCTATTCATTTTGGGATCATGATATTTGATCCATTATATTGTATAGGGTCTATATATGCTTGTACATGTTTTCCTATTTGATGCATGTACATTTGTGTATTCAGGCATGTTATATGATGATGTAGTGCTCAGATATGTGCATGTGCTGAGATATGTATGCTATTAGACATAGTGGCACATAGCCAGTTATGCATGCGTCCATGGATGGGTATTAGGTCCGTTGTTGGACCATATATGATTATATGATATGTTTAAGATGATATTTTATTAGGTATGTATTATGAGAGTGGGATTTAATCCCCATTTGTTCGGTTTACAGCTATTACGCTGTCCGAATTTAGACTCCGTGTGGATTGACACTTGTTCTCACATTCAGATGGTCAAGGGCCATTACACATGATCATGGATAAGAGATGAAAGTTTTAGAAAAGAAATGATGACTGATGCTAAAGAAGGAACGTAAGGCTATATATCATGTGAAACAAAATGAAGAAAAGGAAAAAGTTAGCTTGTATTTTCGTAAACTAATGCAAGATTATAAGTTAAGTCTTTCGCTGATACATGTTTTAGTATCATATGTATGTTAATTGAACTGGCTCGAGACAAAGATGTTACAGGCAATGTCCAACATGATAAGGACACATTGTTAAAAAACTCAGTTGAAGACATATTTACTATTTCATACCTAAAACTAACAATCTCTATCTATATATATATATATATATATATATATATATATATATATATATATATATATATATATATAGGTAGGATCCTTTGACATCAGTGTCAAATTTGAAATTTAACACCTCATCTGAGTGTCATTAGATCAAAAAAGATCAACGACTCTATTTTATAAGCATGTGACACCATTGATCTTTTTTGATCTAATGACTCTCGAATGAGGTGTCAAATTTTAAATTTGACACTGGTGTCAAAGGATCCTACCTCATATATATATATATATATATATATATATATATATATATATCTCGTGAAATGATTCTATCGCCATAATAAATTTTAATTAATTTTATTTTTAAAAATGTTAGCAGACACTTTTTTATTATTAGATGAAATTTATTAATCATTATTTCTTATCTTCTTTTAGTGAAATTAACAAAATTTTACTTAACAGTAATAAAAAAAGGTCAAAAAATATACTACTAACATTATTTATATTTTAAAATTGTTTAATTAATTAAAATAAAACATAAAATATACACGAAAGTCGGTTTTTAAAGGAACAGGAATTCTACAAATCTTATCACATTCGTTTATTTATCTATTTTTGTGAGTGTCAAATCTATATTAATAAATTATAAGTATATAAGTTTTTGCACTTTAAATTTCTGTGGGGATTAGTCTCTTTTTGTCTTTAGTTTAATATACCATCTGTCTCAAAGAGCAGTTAGCTCTAAAGACATATTCCGATAGTAAGTGGCTGAAAGTGATTGAATAAGGATATTTAAATAGATTATGAATATATGACTTTTCTATACAGTATTAAAATATTTTCAAGAAAAAGAAAAAGCACGACTAGGAGTCTAGGATAGAAACAAAAAGAAAGTAAATGTCTACGCATAATTTTATAAAAATAATACTACTGCTCTTTTCGGCTTCGCTTTTTGGCTTAATCTGGAAAACTCACATGACCCTTTTTATTAAAGAAAAATATTTTATCAAAGATTTTTTTTATCAGTGACCTTTCAATTTTCGTGCAATATTTTTTTTTTTTTTTAATATATATGAACTCCATAAAAAATTCTCCCATCACATAAGAAAATCAAAATTCTCTTATTAATGGGCAATGGCATCGTCCAAACTTTAGGCTGTACACGAACCATCACAGATATTTTTAATGCCTCTATTAAACGGTCATTGCTCAGGTTGCACAAATAAAGAAAAAGACAAGATAAAATACAGAAGATACTGAGACTAATAACCTTTTCATGTTTCCATCGAAAGCACATTGTGCCTAGCAATGGAAATAGACAAAGGTAAAATTTGACAAGGTTACTCGATTGTTCGGTCGGGGACACAGTCATGACACAGAGACAGTCGAAGACTGGTTGGAGTTCTTGTACGAGTTACCGCAGTTCGTTTAACCGAATTAACCGACCCTTAAGTTCACTAGCCGAAGCCGAGTGAGCCACGCCAATCTGAAGACAAGCCTCCCAACCCATTTGCAGTGTCGATCTTGCTCTTCAGAAATATAATTCTATTAAGTCAATTACAAATTAATGTATTATTAATTTAAAACTAGAGTTTTTTGTGTGATAAAAAACGATGTTTGAAGAGCCGATTTAAACATTGATCCAAACCGCATTAAATTGATTTGCATAAAAAATAATATAATTGATGATTGACACATATAATTATAGTTTTAATATTTTTATATTATAGAAAATAAAATTATCTCCTACATATACATAAAAGTGTATGGAATTTATGTTTTCTTTTTCTTTTTCTTCTCTTCACATGGATCCATATAGGTCATACACACTTTTATATGTATGTAGATGATAATTTTATCCTCTATAATAAGAGAGACATCAAACCTTATAATTATACAATAATCTGATATAAAATAATAATATATACCCAAAACGCCCCAATGTCCAACGAGCATTCTAAGTTGTGGTTAAGTTACATGGATGGCTTGTTTTGATTGTGTACATCACCAATGCTAAGCTTCACTTGATTGTATGCCTATGTCCCATCCTCTGTGAATGGATTTATAGTCACCAATTCTCTTGTTCTCATGTATGCATCTCTTTTCTATTCGCATATTACACCTTATTTGATTTAGGTGTTCATCAATCCAATAATAATTGGGCTAAGTTATCGATTGAGCCTGGTCCAATAGCTTGGCTAGATCTTTGCTGGAATGAGTGTTGCAGTATGATGACTCCGCGAGATGCTTTGTAACTTTACGAGATGCTCTGCGAGTTGAAGGATTTGAGGCAAGATGTCTTGTTGGCTCGGAAGACTAATATTAAAGTCAGTGTATGAGCTATGAGTTATAGTTAAGATGAAATAGATTATACTCAGGTTACAAGACTCTGTTTATATAGTGGATGAGTGTCATGCTTTTGCCGTCTTAGTATGGTGGCATTTAATCTCATTGCTACTTAGAAGTGGCTCTTACATGATATGTATTTGTGGGTTATGCCTTATAGGTGTAGCTGGGATCAAGTGCTTGTCCCTTAGTCATTGGCTATTACGATCAATGTAGACTTTTGAGCTGTTGATGTCAAGTAGCCGTAGAATCATGAGTTACTGATGTCGTGTGTCAATGTACCTATGGATGTCATATATGCTGGATGAGGCATGTCGTGAGCTTTGAAGTCATAGTCATTGAACCTTTTGGGCTATTCATGGACTGAGCCTTATATCCCATGTGAAATTGGTCCAAATCAAGTGTCTAAGTTGTACAAGCACACGAAATAATCTTTATCAACTATTTTCATCCACCATTTTGTAACTAGACTTAATTATATTATAAGGGTTTTACCTTTCTTATTTTATAAGGAAATACTGTTGGTTTTTACATAAAAAAATTTTGGAAGAGAGAAACAAATATAAGGAGAGAGAAAATAATATCAATGGACCCCACATCAAATATTCTTTATACAAGAACCAATTTTCGTGCAAGATGAGAGAGATAAAACTCATATTATAAATATGTAATTAACTTATGTAATATGTATAAAATAAGTTTAAGTAGTAATTTCTCAGTTATACACTCATTCGCCAATCCCAAATCCCAACCTAAGTACCTAACTTTAAAATCTTGGTTAGCTACCACAAGTATCTAGATGAACCGGCACGATATTATTTTGAGCTTAATCAGTGGTTACAAGATTATTTCAGTTTTTGTGGCTCTTATATTACTACTGCCAAACTTAATTGGATTAGTCAATAAAAGCTGTGGAGAAATCTAAAAACTAGCTCACTCATCTATCTCAGCCGCGCCACAAAACAATAGCCATTGCGTCTGTTTCTTTTTCTACTCTCTCTCTCAAACGTTGTCTCTCTCTCTCTCTCTCTCTCTCTGAAAATTCTGTCATTGACGACGAGTAATGACCAGCAATCCCCGAGTTCCACCGGAATTGTGTTAAGTTGAGTTAGGGGGAAGCAAAACGGTGCGTGTCGTGGAGATCTGGTAAATTTGTGAAATCTCTCACGCGCTGCCATGGAGGTTGAAAAGGAAGCCACAGCTGAGAGCCTGATTGAGTTGGTGAGTGAGATATCGGCGATCTCAGATTACAGGTCGACGGTGAAGAAAGAGTACTGCAACCTGGTGCGGAGGCTGAAGCTATTGACCCCATTGTTCGAAGAGATTAGGGATAGCAATAAGCCAATCCCTGAGGAGACTTCAACGGCCATGTTTTCCTTGAAGAAAGCTATGGAATCGGCCAAGGAACTCCTCAGATTCGGGAGTGAAGGAAGCAAGATTTACATGGTTTGTGCGTATTATCTCTCACTCTCAATGCTCTTTTGCATTTCCGAATCCATGTTTCTTTGCTCTGCTTTTTGCGTGTGAACTATGGAATGGAGTAAGTGGGTGGTCACTGCAAGTGAAACATTAAACTTTTATTTCTGCTTCCTCATTGCAAATGACTATTGGGGTAGCAATCAAATTTCTTTTTTTTTTTTGCTAAAAATAGTTTTCGAACTACACTTAAATTCAATGTTGTGTATCAGTTCTAGATTTGGGGAAAACTTTTGAAATGCAATAAGCAAAGTTTTTTTTTCTTTTTCTTTTTAATTAATTCCTATGAGATTTTTTTATTTTTATTTTTTCTGAAAATTTTGTTCGGTTCTAGGAAAAGGGCTATTCCTGGTTCATGAGCTGCAATACTTAATTCGACATTGATTTATCTCTTAGATGCCATTTTTTCTGATAGAATATGATGGGGGAAATTGTTTCTCCGGGGATGTGTGTGTTTACTGCTACGTGAAATCTGCTCCAGCCAGTGTGTAACATAATTCAATGGTGAATAGGTTACCACGGCTCAAGATAAGGTCCTTGTCCCTCTCACCCATTCCCCTCCTTTAATGCGTATGTTTGTTGATTTAGACAGACGGGGGAAACACTATTGTTTGTCTAGACTCTAGTGTAAAATCTATGTGATTCAAAGTACTTCTCAAAAAGTAAGTTCTACTTCAGAAATTCTACAATTAATATTTGTGTTCAGTCTCTGTTCCACATCTACCTACAAATTAGATACAATTTGTTGGTGGAATGTCTTGTCATGCCGCAAATATTTGTTTGCTCTTGCTTATTTTGGTTTTCAAGCCAATAGAATATCTTCTTTTCCTTTCCTAATTGATGTCTCTTTCAAGTGTTGATTGTGAATGACATTTTATTGGTCCTTGTGATCCATTTTCTCTCCACTAGTTCTGCGTTCTGGATTGCATTTATACTTGCTGATTGAGTATTACTTTATCTAGTACGGATCTTTCCGTTAAATTGGGTATTAAGTAAAGATTTTTATTTTGTTTTTTAAAATTGTAAAAAATATAAATAAAATAAAAAAATTCCAAGTTGGTATAGTATTAATGTTTTGGATAGAAGCTGCAAATGTTCAAGACCTAGGACAATTTGTAATACTGGTTCCAGACAGGTTTCTTGATGTGTGTTTGGACCTAGATATCAACAGAAAAATACTCTCTCCTTCATTTCCAATTGTAATACTTAGAAGGAGCTTTTTGATAGGAACTTGACTAAAACAATTCCGGATGCTTTTTCTTTCTTATCTTGAGATGCTTTCCCCATCTCACATAAACAATTCGAAGATATAGTCTTGGCGTCTTGCAAAGTTTCACAAATGCAGTCAAACATGCACATGCACTATACCAGAGGGGAGGGAGATGCCTGAATGCATTGAATTTATTCCGGCTGAAAGGCCAAAAAAAATGGACATCCCCTTTTCAAGCTTGGTGATATTTGTTATTAAATATGGTTCCCAAGAGGCTAATATTATACTAGGGATCATGAACAACACTGTCCCTTTGATTAAACCCTCTTTAGCCTACTGACAGTTGGATTTCAAATTCTTGGATTTGTTTTACTTTGATTAATTCAAAGTAAGTTCATCAAGCTGGCGGAAAAAAAAAATTCATCTTGCATCCAGTGGTTCAGTCACAATGGTTCGCTAGTGCTTTGATTTTGGTAGAGAGGAGTTACTAATGCTTTGTCTGTAATTTCAATATTTCTGATTTCTGATGTGTTGGGCTTGATCCGGTTTGTTAAAAGTAAAAGTGCAGACGAAGAAGGGTATGTGTCTTTATGGTGTCCAAAGTATTTCAAGCATTCCTATATTCTTTATAGATAGGTTACAACAATTGACTCGTAAATATTGTGAATGCTGCCTAATTTTGTACGTCTGGCGAGAATTTGAAATGGCCAAAGTAATCCAGTTCTGTTGCAAAAATAAAATTGAGTTATGTAATGAAATTTAAGATATTTGTACTATTTGAAATCTAATAATGTTACTTATTTATTATTTGTTGATATTTTATTATGCTTATGTACAGGGGAAGTTTTCTTACAGGTTTATTGGAGGTGTTCTCATTTCTTATCCTTGATTTAAATTTTAATCTTGGTTGCTTCCTGATGTCTCCTTTGTAAATTCCGCTTGATTATTATGGATAATTTGAATGAGATGTTTGGATAGAGGATATGGAAACATGCTTTCAATATGATGAATTTTTCTTCCATAGATGTTGATTCAGTTTTCTTAACTCCTGTTTGCAGGTTCTTGAGAGGGACCAAATTATGAATAAATTCCACGAGGTGACTGCTCAGTTGGAACAAGCGTTGGGTGGAATTTCCTATGATAAACTTGACATATCTGATGAAGTTAAGGAGCAGGTAAAAATATGTCATCTGGAATTTGTGTCAATATTTTTGAAATATGTATATAAGTTACCTTTCTTAAAACTAACTGCGTATTTTGTACTTCTTGTGTTTTATTTTTTAGTGATTATGTTATGATACATACATTTTAGCTATTGTATCATTTGTATGTTTGAACCAGAATTAAGTTGAAAAATCTGGTCGACTGAGCACCCTTCAAGTTATTTGTTCAGAATAGAATGGACTCTGCGCCACCGTGGAGCTTTTTTATCTCTATTTTGTGGTGCTGAGTATTGACATATTGATGTTTGATTCTCCCTAACATTTCAGGTTGAGCTTGTTCTTGCCCAGTTCACGAGAGCCAAAGGAAGGGTTGATGCACCTGATATTGAGTTGTATGAGGATCTCTTGTCCCTCTACGACAAGACCAGTGATGCAGCAACAGATTCATCTGTTATACGGAGATTAGCTGAAAAATTGCAATTGAATGGAATAGTTGATCTTACACAAGAGTCAGTAGCTTTGCATGAGATGGTGGCTGCCAGTGGTGGGGATCCAGGGTCAAGCATTGAGAAGATGTCAATTTTATTGAAGAAGATAAAGGAGAGCGCTCAAACAGAAAATCTAGACGTGGATGATAATGTAGGAGGAAACAGCCTCTCTTCAAGTTGTTGTAAACAGGGGAAAAATGAAATGAATCACCAGCCCCCTGCAATCCCTGATGATTTTCGATGTCCAATTTCCCTAGAATTGATGAAGGATCCTGTCATTGTATCAACTGGACAGGTATATATTCTAAGATGCCCTCTTACAGAAAAGTTGAAGATAGTGAAGTTAATTACTATTCTTCCTGTCCCCCCAATGTGGAAGTTTTTATCTGCCCACTTTCTCTCTATGTCTGCTTGAATGAAAAATTGCAGCAAAATGCACTTTGCTCTTGAACAATTTTTGTTAAGATATAATTCAGTTCCCAAATCTTTCTTTAGCGGCAATTGAGCTTTGGATGGTTCATTGCATGGACATTTGCTTTAAATTGATAGATTTCAGTGGAACAAAAATATTTGTTGAATTAGGGAAGTTAAGTAAAAATTGAAGGTTTTCCCACATAATACTCTTTTAAACTGAAATATGCAATACAATTGCCATTTCCTGTTTCCAGTTCTCACTATTAACATTTTACTTCTGCTGTAGAGTCAGTCTGCTTATAGCTGTGAAATTACCCACTAAAACTCGTCATGTTCTCTTGTCTGCTGCAGACTTATGAGCGTTCTTGTATAGAGAAGTGGTTGGAAGCAGGGCATGGGACATGCCCAAAAACACAGCAGACCCTCTCTAGTACTGTTCTCACACCCAACTATGTCTTACGAAGCCTCATAGCACAATGGTGTGAGGTCAATGGCATAGAACCACCAAAACGACCCAGCAGTTCTCGACTTAGTAAATCAGCATCTACCTGTTCACCAGCTGAGCGAAGTAAGATTGAAAATCTTCTTCAAAAGCTCACATCTGGCAATCCTGAAGACCAGAGATCAGCTGCGGGTGAGATCCGCCTTCTTGCGAAGCGAAATGCAGATAACCGTGTGGCTATTGCTGAAGCTGGTGCAATACCTCTTCTTGTTGGTCTTCTCTGTATGCCGGACTCCCGCATTCAAGAGCATGCTGTGACAGCACTTCTGAATCTTTCAATATGTGAAAATAACAAAGGAAGTATCATATCTGCAGGGGCAGTTCCAGGTATAGTTCATGTGCTCAAGAAGGGAAGCATGGAAGCTCGGGAAAACGCGGCAGCAACTCTTTTCAGCCTTTCAGTTATAGATGAAAATAAGGTTACAATAGGTTCTTCAGGAGCCATACCACCACTAGTGACACTGCTGAGCGAGGGTACCCAAAGGGGTAAGAAAGATGCTGCAACAGCACTTTTCAATTTGTGCATTTACCAGGGTAACAAGGGAAAGGCAGTGAGGGCTGGTGTTATTCCAACGCTGATGCGACTGCTGACAGAACCTGGTGGGGGAATGGTTGATGAAGCATTAGCCATATTGGCAATATTGGCTAGCCATCCTGATGGGAAGGCCGCCATTCGCTCTGCAGAGGCAGTGCCTGTTTTGGTAGAGGTGATTGGGAATGGATCCCCAAGAAACAAAGAGAATGCAGCTGCCGTCTTAGTGCACCTTTGTTCTGGTGATCAACAATATCTAGCTCAGGCTCATGAGCTAGGGGTGAATGGTCCATTGTTGGAATTAGCTCAGAATGGAACTGACAGAGGCAAAAGAAAAGCTGCACAATTGCTTGAGCGTATGAGCAGGTTCCTTGAGCAGCAGCAGCAGCATGAGGAAGAAGTTCAAACACAAACTGAGCTTCAAGCTCAGAGCCAGGATAACGCACTACCTTCTATTACTAACCTTGATGATAGCTGAGATATTTTGTGTTCATTTTCGTTCGTTTTGTTTCTCTTTTGTTCTTTTTGAAGTGTTGAAAGAAGCGACTATTTGGAGGAAAGGGTGGAAGATCACCTGATGACTCCATCAAAATTATTCATTTGTTTGTGTGATATAAATAGATGTAATCCAAAAGGCCTTAAAAGGGAGAAGGAGAGTGAAGACAATGAGCGAGAAGCGTCTGACATGGAAAATGTATAATTGTAACATGCACTGTTGTAATCATCCTCAGATTTTAATGGAGAGATGTTTCATCTATTCACACTAAAGCACATACTTTGAAAATTCTCTACGTACGTGAACTAGTAAAGTAGAAATAATAGATGCCCGATCTGCATTCTTGGCTATTGTAGAATTTAAAGAACCTTGTGTCCGTAAAAAAAATAAAATAAAAATAAGGCAGAAGGGGCACGATTCAGGTCATGGTTGAGGTATAATCTTTGGCACAGCATGCTGGTATTTGTGCAATAGCAAAATAGCAAACTGACTCATGAATTTTAGATCAATGGCTGACATTCACCACCTGTAACCTGTTGAACAGGTTAGTTTGTGAAAGGCAATATTTAGAAGGATTTCCCAACAAAAATAAATATTATTTGCACGTCCTATGTTCCGATAGACACGGGAAGTAGAGAAAGATGTTCCTTCTCTCACACTCTGGAAATGGACACACCAGAGAGGAGCTAGATCAATACCCATCTTCAAATTTGAGGTTTTGCTTACCAACACTTCATTTGCTCTCCTTTTCCAATCTTTCTCTTCTTCAATTCGCTCCCTTTTGTGGTTTTCATGGTATTTTCAGTCTTATATGTCTCGACTTTGTTTCCGAGTTTCTCTCCGATGCTGCTCCTGTTTCATCAAACTTTTTCTTTATCTCAAATTTTGCCGTGTTTTGTTTATCTTTTTGTGATAAAAAATCGTATTTTAAACCCTGTTCAAGTGGTAATAATAATCCATTTTATGTGTCAACTCTTTTTTTTTTCCCTTCAAATAATTCTTGGATCCAGTCTTGTTATGGTCTTGGTCTAAGGCTTTGTTGTTTCATGTGCTCTACAGTTTTTTGTTATTGTTTCATTGGTGTTTATCAGAGTTTTGATTACGCTGTACCTATCAAATATTTGTGTATCTGCAATCCGATTGAGAATTTTTTTTTTTTTTTTTTAGCTTATACTGAATTTCTCTGTATCTTACTGAGGCACAAACATCCAATGTGCGCTTTGATTTATTTAAATAACGATGGCGAGTGGCTAGGAGTATAAATGGGATGCATCAGGTTAGGTTTAAGGTTAAAGAGGTTGAGTTTGAGTAAAATATTTTAAGTCTCTCTTATATGTAGGCCCAAATTATAAATTTAATCTGAGCTATATTTAAAAAACAAAAGACTTGGCCTACACATGTTAATCTAATAAGCTTATTAAGTATTCAATAATTAAAAAATTATTACTTTATTATTCAAAATTATTAAAATAAATAATATGATATAAGGCAGCTTATAGACTTAGCCAAGTCTTGTACAAAAAAGCCTCTTGAATATGTTCTATTTTACTACATATAAAAGGTCAAATTTGATCGGATGTAAGTCGGACTATAAATCCCTTATAGGCCGCAGTGGCGTACCAAGAAATTGTATTTATGTCTGCACATTTAGTGACCGATTTTTTTTTAAAAAAAAAACTTTCACCATGCACAGTCTCCATGAAAGGATATACGGTAAATAGCCTCATCTTGCATTTGCAAAATGTTAGATATAATAATTAAAAATGTGACTTTTGGGTACATGACCACAACACCAACTATTAAGACAAGAGAAAGTAACAACTTAGTAAATCTAAACTAATATAAGCACAGTGGCACAAATATAAGCACAACAATATTAATATTAGATATTAGGTATAAGGGTAGTTTAGTATTTCAATGATATTATAGATCTTTTTTTTCTGTTATGCTCTTCTATATAAAAGCTCACATATTGTACAAATTAATCACCTAATCAATGAAAATGATATTTTTCATTTTCTCTCTTTTACCTTCTAATATGGTATCAGAGCATTTTTATCCTCCGTGAATGGAGATTCCGCTGCAATCATTATTTTTTTTCTTTGTTTCCTTTCTTCCGGATCTGTGAATTTTTTTTTATCATCAGAGCTACTCTTTCTCCTTTATTTTTCTATGTCCATTTTCACACTCAAATCTCAATAGAGTTTCGTTTCGTTTCTCAGCTTTATTTTGTTCATGGCTTCTCCTTTTATTTCATTCTCAGCTTCGGTTTCCAACACGTCAACCACTCTCCTCCCTTGTCGCCGCTTCAATGCATTCCCTCGCCGGAACCCTCTTCCTTCTCTCTCCCATAGGTTTTCGAATTTTCCAGATCTACTGGGTTTTTCATCCAGATCTGTGTCTCTTTTCTTTTCTCTTTCTATTACATTTTTTTTCTTGCAGATCTGTTTCATTTTCATTTTTATTTTTTGCATTTTTCGTTTTTCCATCGTCCCTGATCTGCTTCATTTTGTTCATCGGACCTCTGTGGACCTTTATCGTGTCTTTCTCTCCTCCAGCCGCGTTTCTCTTCTTTCGGCGGCGTCTCCTTCTTTTTCGGTCATCATCTCCAACTGTGTCTGATTCTTCGGCCGCATCGTCCATTCCTCCGGCCATTTCTGTTCCAAATCTGTGTTGCTTTCAGATCTGTGTTTTTGGTCTCCTGTGGCCCTTTTCTCTTTCTGTTCTGATATTTCATATCTCCGGCCCGTTTCTGTTTTTTTTTTAATCTGCATTTTTTTTTCTTTGCTCTGGGACGTGTTTCTTCTAATATGTTTTTATTTCCAGATCTTCCTATTTTTTCTCTCTTTTTCTTCTCATTTTGCAGGTTTCTGAATATTCATGGAGCTTGTGAATTTTATTGCAATACATCATTGTAGTTTTGGATGGATTTTATTCATGGATTTTTCACTCTGTAATTTTTTATTTTTCTTTATGTTATTTTTCATTCTGTTATTTGGTTTTGCCATTGTTTGGCTTTATTTTGGCTTCCTATTCAGGGGGAGCATTGTTCATGTTGCTGAAGTTTATTTCAGAACAGTTGATTTTGCCGATGTCCACCCCGGCAGTTCATATTCGGTTGCTGATGTCCATCCCAGCCCTTTTTTTCTTCGCTGATGTCCATTCCAGCACATTATAGCTGATGTCCATTCCAGCACTGTTTCTTTACTAGCTGATGATCCTGTTATTTGGTTATTATGTTTTCTTGATTTTTCTTCTTCAAGATGGAAGTTCTCTTTGTTTACTCTCTATCTTGAGGGAGAGTATTAGATATTAGGTATAAGGGTAGTTTAGTATTTCAATGATATTATAGATCTCTCTTTTTTCTGTTATGCTCTTCTATATAAGAGCTCACATATTGTACAAATTAATCACCTAATCAATGAAAATGATATTTTCCATTTTCTCTCTTTTACCTTGATAACTCTCCCATATGAGAGTTAATTTGTTATTTTTATGATGAATTTGTTGCATAAATTCCATATAAGTTAGCCACTTTGCATGATATTTGAGCTAATTATTGTATATTTATGATTAAGCGCTTTGAAATGACTAAGTATGGAAAATAAGACAATATCCCTTGATTTTGCGTAAGAAAAGATGACTTGTTGAATGTTTGTCTTCGCAGGGAAAATTGACGTAGGAATGCTGTAGTAGAGAAGCTGACGAAGTAATGATATAGCAAGCGCTACAGCATGACAGCGTGGACAAAGGGACAACCGAACTTTTGAATTTCAAAAGTTAGTTATTCTTCAACAATACACCAGCAAGCAAGGGAAGTTTCTGGAGATTTAGTTCAGAAATCACAAGGGTCAAAAGACAAATTTAAAAATTGAATCTTATCCGATCCCCAATGAACAAGGACAACAACCTTGATTCGGTCAACAACATTGGCACAAGAAAACCAAGAAGATAAAGATCTTATCCAATTAAGTGCCAACAAATCCGAAAATCCCAAGGATCAAGGACGATTTCAAGGATTGAGTCTTATCCCAAAATCCCAAAGAACAATGACAACAAAACTCTTGTTCGGTCAACAACAATATTGGCACAAGATAATCAAGAAGATTAAGATCTTATCCATTCAAGTGCCAACAGCCGAAGAATTTAGGGATAAGATAAGGCTGCAGCAACCGGATTCAACAATCTCCACTCTTAACTCCTAAAGCCCAAAGCCCAACTATTTTTCCTATTTAAGAAGAGCTCCTCCACGAGAGAAACACAGTTCGAAACATAGTTAGAGAGGTTGAAGGTTCAGAAGCAAGGAGGAGAGTTTTAGAGGGAGATAGTGAGGTTCTTGGAATAGGAAGGGCAGTGCTGGAGCAAGGCAGTGACGACGTCTTCCTACAGCAATTGTTTTCAACTTCTTTTCTGTTTTCCAATGAATTCTTTCTTTCTTTTCTCTGTTTTATTTAATTCCATTATGAGCTAAATTGCTCCATAGGTTAGGTGATAAAGTACCTATGCTGTAACATTGAGATGTATGCCTAAACTTTGTTTATGTTAATGTTTAATTAGTTATTCAACGAGTTTGCTTAATCTTATTCATGTGTGCATGTCGAGAGATACATATGTGATATTGAGGAGGTTGGGGCCGAGAGGTTTTCGAATCCAGACCCTTGTTGAATAGTGTGGATTAATCGAGTTAAATTAACTTAATTAAGTTGTGGGTAGAGAGATCATTCACACCACATAACCTAGAACTTGAACTTAACAATTCAGTGATTAGTTTGGCCATAGAGATGTGGGAATCAATTATTGGGTATATATGTTAGGTTGGCCAAAAGTCCCAGCATACATTAGTGTTTGGTTACTAGTTAAACATCGATATAGCATTGTTAAAGCATCATATCAGTATTGCTGTATCAGGGAAATTGATCCTGACCTATATCTCATCCATCATCTTAATACCTATTATTTTAGTTTCTTATTATTAGTTGTCTTTTATTTTACAAAACCAACAATCATAATCAATCACTTTACTCACTTTCTTCACCTAAATAATCATTACTTGACACTTATCTCCGTGGGAACGATACTTGGACTCACACATCCCTTTATTACTTGTGACACGTGCACTTGCGTATTTGTGTGGAAGATTTAAAATTGATTACGAATTGCACAACATACCTTCTAATAATTAATTTAAAGAATGTAGTATAACATATCTATTATTCAAACATACAGGTTATAAGTATTTCAGA